AGTGACATGTGTCAATATTCTCGGTGGGTTCCATGCGGAATCTGGGGGTAGTGAACGTGACCCGGGCCTGGTTTTCAGGTCACTGTGGTGACCTTGATTCCACTGACCAATACCCAGTGTCTGAAGTCTCAGGTTCAATAACTGGCGAATACAGGCAGTGCAAATTAATATAATAACCTGTGAAAGCTGCTTGATATATTGGTTGAAAAGACACATCTGAAAATGTTATTACTTGAAAATAAAATCAGTATAACAAATACATTTTGTTTTACGAATTCAAAATGAAGTTATTCTTTGAACAAAGCGTTATCATTTATTGACTTAAATGGATATATAATGCACTGGATCACCCAGGAAACACAGCGAACAGAATTGTGGGAAATGACATGTGATTGGGCCTCACCAGCAGTGTCGCTATTGTTCCTTCTCATATATATAAAAGGATTCTGGAATGAAACTAAATGTATTGTTCAATTCAGGGTATTAAATTTGATTTCTAATAAATAAGGCCGACAATGCCCATGCGTGTGGAATATTATCCTACAGCTGTGCTTAGATTCTACGTGTTCTCATATATATTATATAGATGTTAACATACAATATGTTAGTCGACAAATCTGTACTTAAAATAGTTAAGTGTGTAGCAACCAACAAATGGAATACAATCACTAATTGTATTACAAAATTAACTAGGTTTACAAATCAATGCCAATTACAATCTCATTAAAATCAGCGAGAACTAAGATCTGATTTTAAAGAGATTGATACAAATTACTGCACAGCAATTACAATGGGAGAACACAATAGAGTGGCGGTACAATATGCAATGGCAGTATGACATGTGAGAGCAGTGGAAATGACAGGAATAATAACCACCTCGCCGGAACAGTGATCAAGATTCCGAGACGGTCCTAGGGTGAAATCCAGGCTTTAATGTGATCTTGACGTGAAAGCTGGTCTTGATGTAACGTCAGATGAAATGTGAGATGACAGGCACGCGCCCGCCCGCTCCACTTATGTAGTCTAACCAGCTTCCAGCACATTCTACACAGTGCTTCATCAGTCCAGTGTCGTTTGAACATCACAGAATATTCCACATGTTCCTATAACGCTTGACATCCATCCATGCGATCCAAAGTTTACAGATAATTCGAGCATCTAGTACAATAACTTCCTCACCACTACTTACATTAAATAGTACTACATTCGTGACAACCAACCATTGTCCAAATACAATGCAATGAACTTCTACTGAATCTAAGCAGAAACAATGTAACACTGTTACAATCATTGTTTAACAATAAAGTACACTGTCACAGTATATCACAGTTCAAACCCTCTCCATGACAGTGGCATCGCGAATATCACGACTGAGCTGTAATGATGATTATGTTTATGATTTAACGAGCGCTTCGGGTGGATCTGATTTTGCACTGAGGATGTGGAACCTTTCAAGATGATCGAAATGAAATTATAGTCTTGAGACAATAAAACATGCAGAGTTTCATTTATTGGCAGCGTATGTGCAAACACAAAAAAGAGTCTTGTGTTTATCATATTGTATATACGCAAATGATGTGTTTTGTTTGTTTGTTGTTTAACGCCGCACTCTGCAATATTCCAGCTATATGATGGCGGTCTGTAAATAATCCAGTCTGTACCAGACAATCCAGTGGTTGACATCATGAGCATCGATCCACACAATTTGGATACGATGACATGCACCAACCAAGTCAGCGAGCCTGACCACCCGATCCCGTTAGTCGCCTCTTACCAAACACTATGTATAGAATTTATTGTTTGTTTGTTTATGTGTTGTTTTACGTCGCACTCAGCAACATTACAGCTATATGACGGCGGTCTGTATGTAATCGAGTCTGGACCAGACAATCCAGTGTTTGATATCGTGATCATCGTTCCAGGCAATTGGGATACGATGACATGCATGAAGCTAGTCAGAGAGCCTGACCACCCGATCCCTTTAGCCGCCTCTTTCGACAAGCATAGTCGCCTTTTACGGCATATATGGGTTGCTGAAGACCTAGTCTACTCTGGATCTTCAAGGGTCGTAAACAATCTGAGGTATACCGTGAGTTTAAGACTACATTCAAAGTATCCACTAACAAAGATATGCCATGTATATGTGTGCATATGCAATCACAAATATGTACAGCTCGTATTTAGCTTTATCTACAGACGGTTTAGTTGGGACGATATACGAAGATGCCACGAGAAACATAAAGTGTCCTGAGCAGGGAGCACGGGTGCCCCAGAGAGTTACCTCCCTGTCCCTTGTCAGAATCCTATGATCATGGATTAGAATCCCATATTCGCTCTGATTATGAGAATATCGCAAAATTCCACGGCATATTGTCCACATCGCTGGCAATACGCCCAGCGTCACCTGTAGCCTGCACGATGTGCGTCAACATGGTTGCAGCTAGGGCCAATATATGTCAAACATAGTTGCTGCTCGAGCCAATATGTGTCAAACATAGTTGCTGCTTGGGCCAATATGTGTCAAACATAGTTGCTGCTTGGGCCAATATATATCAAACATAGTTGCTGCTTTGGCCAATATATGTCAAACAGAGTTGCTGCTAGGGCCAATATATGTCAAACATAGTTGTTGCTTGGGCCAATATATGTCAAACATAGTTGCTGCTTAGGCCAATATATACTATGCCAATAGTTGCTGCTCGGGCCAATATGTGTCAAACATAGTTGCTGCTTGGGCCAATATATACTATGCCAATAGTTGCTGCTCGGGCCAATATATGTCAAACATAGTTGCTGCTTGGGCCAATATATACTATGCCAATAGTTGCTGCTCGGGCCAGGATATGTCAAACATAGTTGCTGCTTGGGCCAATATATGTCAAACATTGTTGCTGCTTGGGCCAATATATACTATGCCAATAGTTGCTGCTCGAGCCAATATATGTCAAACATAGTTGCTGCTCGAGCCAATGTATGTCAAACATAGTTGCTGCTCGGGCCAATATATGTCTAACATAGTTGCTGCTCGGGCCAATATATGTCAAACATAGTTGCTGCTCGGGCCAATATATGTCAAACATAGTTGCTGCTCGGGCCAATATATGTCAAACATAGTTGCTGCTCGGGCCAATATATGTCAAAAACAGTTGCTGCTTGGACCAATATATACTATGCCAATAGTTGCTGCTCGGGCCAGGATATGTCAAACATAGTTGCTGCTCGAGCCAATATATGTCAAACATAGTTGCTACTCGGGCCAATATATGTCAAACATAGTTGCTGCTCGGGCCAATATATGTCAAACATAGTTGCTGCTTGGGCCAATATATGTCAAACATAGTTGCTGCTCGAGCCAATATATGTCAAACATAGTTGCTGCTCGGGCCAATATATGTCAAACATAGTTGCTACTCGAGCCAATATATGTCAAACATAGTTGCTGCTTGCGCCAATATATGTTAAACATAGTTGCTGCTTGGGCCAATTTATGTTAAACATAGTTGCTGCTCGGGCCAATATATGTTAAACATAGTTGCTGCTCGGGCCCATATATGTCAAACATAGTTGCTGCTTGGGCCAATATATGTCAAACATAGTTGCTGCTTGGGCCAATATATGTTAAACATAGTTGCTTCTCGGGCCAATATATGTTAAACATAGTTGCTGCTCGGGCCAATATATGTTAAACATAGTTGCTGCTCGGGCAAATATATGTTAAACATAGTTGCAGGTTCAATATTTGAACACGCGAGTGATACTGATCAACACAATGACAGTGAAGTTAACTAAGACTTCACTCACTACACCGTCTGTGCAGAACTCATAAACAACCTATATCAGCGTGGACTGGAGAACACATATTCATACACTACATGGGGAGTATGTATAGTTCATGTCTAAACTAGCACATTAAACGAACAAACCAATAGAGTCCATTTATCTTTTATAATGCTTAATGTATCATACAAAATTACCAGCAAGCTCTCTGTTTATCACAATACCTCTATTCACCACGATGTTAACCGCTGGATATTAATCGCATGTTTTGTTGACGGACCTTTCAGGCATAATCGTACGTAAACGACCGTAAACATGCGTTACTCATAATTACATGTTTGTGTGCGTGTTTATGCCGAGCCTCATGTGAAGGATTCAACGCGAAAGCATTACATCCATTAAAGGCAGTTTAAAAAACTGTACTTAAACATGGCAATCATCTCATGGGATATGTCCCGTAAAGCGTACTAACGAACCTTTTTCTCATATCTTACACAGAAGATTGTTGGTGTAAGTATGACAGTCGTGGTGCAAAAAATCGCTTTAGGGAATGAGTGCAAGATCGTGAGTTAAACAGAGATCGATGATCTTGAAGCTCATTTACTCAATAAATAGATATACCTCTTGTGGGAACTGAACGTGTGTAATAGATAGGTGTCGACGTGTGTGTGTCTCGCGGCCCTATTGCGTTTTACAGGAGTACTTGCCGAACGCTGACAAGATTATGTGTAACGCGGGAACAAGCTTAATACAATTAACAGAGGGCCAATGATTTTGCAGATATACACAAAGATGCATTTGAAACTTTTTTGTCCGTTTGAATAGTTATAAAAAGTTAGTTTATACCGGATGACGCAAATAGGCCGTGCTTACTTTATTAGTCACTGTTGATTTTTACAAGTCGCTGTCAGTCAAGAACATAGTGGAGTATGTATTTCTGAAATATTTCAAATGTTTGAATGATAAGATCACATTGACCTGGCCACGGCGGGTCGAATTATTTGTTATTGTGCTTTCCGCCAAGATGCCAGTGATGTGCGCCGAACACAAGTTTACAGGTGTATATTTTTAGCTTTCAGGTCTTGGCATCTGCCCATAACAGACTGGGTTAGTCTCTAAGTTGCTCCCAGCTTTCCTCCTCTCGGGGAACTCACAGAATACGGCGTGAGATTTATTTCCGCCTTACCACAGATATATGCGCGAGAGTAAAGAGTGCGCCCTCTGGGCTCAATCGCTGTTTAATGGGAAAATTATAGAGTACCTATATTCATAAAACGTGTTTATTCATACGTGATAATGGTATTATGTGAATGACGTGGAATTTCAAGGAAGTTGCATTTCACGAAGTGATCCGGCTAACACTTTCTGCAGTGACTCACATATTCCTACGCCGAGTAACCGGAGCGCCATTGTAATGGCTGAAAGAAAGGTTGTATGGACTGAAGCTCACAGTTATTTACGGAATTCCGGACAATAGCGGAGAATTTTCCGCTGTTGCTGGCCATGGCTGATTACGCCGAGGAAATCGACAAAGAAGTGTCTCGGTATAATGAAGATCTAAACTTGTTTGAGGTCCCACACCCTCAGAGCTACTGGCGAGAAGTGACAGCCAAGCGGTCGGATACCACTGCAGGAGATGCGTTTCGTAGCAAACAAAGTGTGTATATGTCTCACGTTCACCAAAAACAAAGTCAGCTTCGATACTCGCCAAAGACAATGTTTTACTCTAACACAGAGCGATCGGCTAGCATTTCGTCCACGTCTCACGACGGTAAGCCACCTATACCAGCATCAATGATGCTCCCTCAGCATCCCATTGCCATCGGGATTCCTCACCCCCAGGGAAAGCTGAGCCCCCCGGGGAACGAAAACAGGGGGATATACATCGGAAATACACGTTATCCAGCTCCCAAAGCAGCAATGATGAATAATTCTGTGAGCCAAACTCAGTCTTTTGGAAGTATGCAACAGACAGTTTATGCCAATCTCCCCATTGTGAACAACGTCACTGTCTCACGGGCTGGAACAAATTCGAACTATTCCAGTCCACGATCAAGTGTTGGGAGTGGGGGTGAGTCAAAGAGCTCCAGCCCTCGGGCTAGTCTCACCTATCCACCTCCACCCTATGATCAACGATTTGGCAGCCCAAGATCAAGTATTGCAAGTCCCAGATCAAGCCTAAGTGCAAATTCATTGGAATCCAAACATTCAAGCCCCAGGACTAGTCTTACTGGAGTACTACTGGATAAGTTTCCCAGCCCACGGACAAGCCTTTCCTCCCCTCAGGATCGCATACCTATTCAGCGTATTGTGGGTAATAATACCGGATATAGTGACCAGGAATTGTATAATCTATCTATGTCTGGCCATAGTGCTCACCAGTACCCCCACAGCTATACGAGCCTCGGACCAAGAAGTGTTTCCTTGTTAAGTGACAACCGTTTTAATGAGCCTGCACCTCCCATTTACACTGACCCTCGGCTTCGAACCCTACCCCCCCAGGCTCAGGCTAGTGTGCATACTATGGGTTACGCCAACCCTGTCCCCACACCATCTAACCAACCAATGAGCATAAATTCCACTCAGAATGGAAACCATGTGATTTCGAATTCCCTCCCTATTAATAGTACTGTTGTAGTGAACAGCTTGTCCCACCCAAACATGACCGGTCCCAACCACCCTGCCCAGTCCCCCCCAGTGATACCTGCACGAGTCCCCCTCCACTACGAGACAGTACCCTCAAGAACGGCAGGGCCATCTGATGCTGAAAAGAAGATAGCTGCTTTAACCCAGCAGCTTGAGCTTGAAATGCAAATTTCGGGATCTGTGTCTAAAAAGTGCCCTGACTCTCCCTCCGGCAAGATGCCCCCACCCCCACCCTATCACGGCCCCCATGACGTAGAGGTCTTCCCTGGATCATACACCCAGAGGAACGCAGTGAGACTAGTGGCCCCAATTCAGGGGGTACAGGTCCAACGGTCCGGCAGTGTCCCCGTCACGCCACCCACCCAGCCAGGCTCCCCAGGGATTAAGCCTCATCTTCACTACCAGGTTACCCCACCCAAATCCAAGGGTCCCTCAGAGGCCGAGAAGAAGTTGTCGGCTTTAACACAACAACTTGAAGAGGAGATGGAAAAGTCACCTGTTGGTGAATATTTTGGTAAGTGTAAAGGTTGTCATGGACACACAGCTCTTACGTTATTAACCTTCTTGGGTTCCTGTCTATTTTTTAAGCTACGCATACCGACTGGTCTCTCTCAGGAGTAGACCATCAATCCTACCATATGTTTGAAAACTTGTACCACAGCACGCGACATGCACATAACCTGAATGTCATCACAGCCATGGTAGTTTGTCATTTACGAGAATGTATTATTCACAGCTATTAAATGTGAAGAAATTTGACATGATCACTTTATAATATGTGACACAACTCACATATTTGCAGTATTATGGTTGTTTAAAATAATTAATTGTCCAACGACAAATGGAAAAAACAAGTGAGGACCTTTGATGTGAAATGGTCTCCTCAAAGTTATGATAAATGGTTCACATGGAATACATGAGGTGTTTATTTGATGTATATACATGATTCACAATACAACTTGGTATGATATGACCATTATTATATATGTCTGTTTCAAACTGTCACTGATTGTTCAACAATGTAGACACTAACTGTTTGGTTAAATTGACACATGTAATACTTTTTATCCCATGAGGTGTTTATAAACATCACAATACAGTGTTGGTATTATATGACAATTATGACATGATCTGTGTCAAGCCTGTCCCAGGTAGTAAAACAATGTACTACATGGGGGTATGCCAGTAGTGTGGGATAGCTCCACATTACCACAGTTAAGACTTTATTGATTTGGAAATTCCTCTGAAGGAATATGTTCCCTCAGCCTTGGATTGGAAAGGTCACATGCTATTCCTGGATCTCAAACTAAATATCCCATTATGTAATCATAAAGTATGATACTTCACAATGAGATGTCTGTGTGGGGTTCCCCGTGCAGGGTAATATGTTATGTGGTTAAGGGGCTACTAGATATGCAAGCCACACAACGTGTGGGAAGTGTTCGTTGCAGAGTGATACATTATGTATGGAAAAGTAAAATGATTGAGTGGAACAGTTTTGCCCCACAAAAGAAGCATTGATTCAATCCAGCTCAGGAATTCCAACCTTTGTTGCTGACATAGCATGTTAATGATTGATTTGGGAAATAGTATTTTGACTTTAGGTCTATAGTCGGATTGTAAACATAGTGAGAGCTGCACAGAACTTGGCCAATTTTAGCTGACAATTGTAGTTATTATCATGATAATTTGAGGTGTTCATCGCCATGATCATATTTGTATATGGAACAAAAAAATTAACAATCATGGATATTTTGGGGGATTTTTCATGAAGTAATGTGTGCTCAGTCCTCAGTACAAGACATATCCCCCCCACCCTCTCCCCAATATTTGTTCAGTGTAAGTGATGTTGATTTTTATTTCCTGTTTACATTCATCATGTTCATTGGAAGAAATTCAAGTTACAAGGTTGTTTACATCTCTCTACAATTTGAAAAGATTTGCACAAATAATATATGTATGTTTATCATGGTATGTTTAAACCAATGTCATGCAGTGTTCGAAATAAGCGCATTTGTATGGGTCTTTATGGTAAATTTATGTGTCGATGTATTTGTCACAATAAGCTGCAGTTTTTCTTAAATGAGGGCCTGAAGAGTTCAGTCAGGGCCTGCGGTATCTAAAGTCTGTGGGTCCTGATGGCAGCCTGGTATTTTTATATTTCAAACACTGCTGTCATGAACATGATGATCATGGAAAATGCCTGTTGTTTGTAGTGGTTCTGGCTTGTTTTTCATCATCATCATGAAACTTTCTTAGAACTCTAAACAAAACTTGGGTAACTTGGAATTTGAACATGTTGAAAAAGACATTCTTTCAGCTGAAAGTTTGAAAAGTGTTTTGAAAAGTTAAAAATGTTTGATGTTGGCTATCTGTAACCATGGTAACACAAGAACAAAAAGTATCTGTCCATGCCTCTAGATGTTGTGTAGATATTATATACATTCTTTGTAGCAGGTGTATTATGTCTTGTTTGTATTTTGATAAATACCATGGACTGATTCGCAATCATCACTTCCTTTTTAGACCAGTTCGGGGCGGTCGGGTAGCCCAGTGGTTAGAGCGTTCGCTCGTCACGCCAAAGACCCGGGTTCTATTCCCGACATGGGTACAATGTGTGAAGCCCATTTCCGGTGTCCCCCGCCGTGATATTGCTGGAATATTGCTAAAAGCGGCGTAAAACCATACTCACTCACTCACTCACTTTTAGACCAGTTCATACAGCATGATCTAAGAATGGCTTTGAATCAAATTATTCTTGTTGTGAGGTATATTCTGTTCTAAGTTAGAGATAGGAATGAGTGAGGCAGCAAAGAACATGCTTCATGCACAGTGTTATTCACAACATAAGGTTTGGGATTCAGAAATGAGAATGGGTAGTATCAGTCCCTCTGGAAAGGAAGGGGCAATCTTTTAAAATTTAAGCTGCTTATATAATCGAACTGGTTGGTTGGTTTGTTGTTTAACGCCGCACTCAACAATATTCCAGCTATATGGCGGCGGTCTGTAAATAATCCAGTGATTGATATCATGAGCATCGACCCACACAATTGGGATCGATGACATGCATCAACCAAGTCAGTGAGCCTGACCACCCGATCCCGTTAGTTGCCTTTTACGACAAGCATAGTCACCTTTTCCAGCAAGCATGGATTGCTGAAGACCTATTCTACCCTGGAATTTTCACAGGTCTATAGTCAAACTGTCATCCACAGAGTTTGATGATGGATCAAAATTCTTTTGGTTGACACAATTTGATTCCAAAGGCCCCACAAACATTTTTATTGGGTGCCAGGCACACGATATTATGATAGTCTGCATGAGTTAGGTTCGTTTTAACCAAGCCGATGATCTATTGTGTAGGATGGTCTGTTGTATGCACCACTCACAACATTTCGAGTTCTTGTAGAGCCAGCTGACAAGCAGAACAAGTGTTATTTATAAATGTGTCACCACTGTTGAAACAGTATAACAAATGGCTCATCATGTTTGTTGAAATGCAATTCTTTTCTCCCTCTCTCTCATCACACACTGGTGTTTGTTTTCTAATTATCAACTAAGTTTGCCCTGAAGTCTTACGCATAATTAACATTCCTCGACCAAGCCTCTCACATGTTCAAAGCATTCCCTTGGTAGCACAGCAACCGTTGAAATACATCCGTGTAGTGTCCGTAACCCATTCATCATCAAGCTCCCATTGTGGCAGTGATAAGAGCTAAATATTGTCATTATCACTGGAGACACTGTGCTCTGCCTGTATATAGCAATAAGTTGGGGGACAGAGTTGACAGTGGTATGCCGTGAATGTCATTATCCCAGGTGTTGCTGGGATGGACAGGTGCAAATAACCACCACTTGCCTGGATTGCCATTGGTTGAGACAAGGAATCTCTTGGCACAAATCTCTATATCCCCTCTTTTCTGGGTTAGTGTGTTGGCTTGTGTTCAGTTTGAGGACTTAAGGTGGTTCGACAGTGTCTTGTGTGTGCATTATGGTATCTTGTGTGTATTATGGTATCTTGTGTGTATTACGGTGTCTTGTGTGCATTACAGTGTCTTGTGTGCATTACAGTGTCTTGTGTGTATTACTGTCTTGTGTGTATTACAGTGTCTTGTGTGTATTACAGTGTCTTGTGTGTATATCTGTCTTGTGTGTATTACAGTGTCTTGTGTGTATATCTGTCTTGTGTGTATTACAGTGTCTTGTGTGTATATCTGTCTTGTGTGTATTACAGTGTCTTGTGTGTATTACTGTCTTGTGTGTATTACAGTGTCTTGTGTGTATATCTGTCTTGTGTGTATTACAGTGTCTTGTGTGTATTACTGTCTTGTGTGTATTACAGTGTCTTGTGTGTATTACTGTGTCTTGGGTGTTTTACAGTATTTTATGTGTGTGTTACAGTATCTTGATTTGCGTGCGTGCGTGCGTGCGTGCGTGCGTGTGGGTGTGTGTTATAGTATTACTGTATACATTATAGCAGTGAGTAGTCAGAAATGTAGCAACTTGTCCTGCTTTCACTTCATTCAAGGCCTCAAAAAGTATTTTCACTTTTGGTAACCAGACTGAACCATTTCATTTTAAAGTCAGAATTATTATTTAATTATGTCTTAATAATCCCTTCCCGATTTGCATTAAAACTATTTTTTAATATTTACCTTAAATGTCGACCCAGATCTGTTATTAATTGATTTTTCTGTTTTCCTTGTAATCATGGTAATGCAGACCCTCCAACAAACAAGCCTACAATGATTTGCCTTGATTTCTTCACTTTCAGATAATTGTCTGAGCTCCTTTGTATAATTAGAGAAATTAACAAAGACAATCTTTGAATATTTTCATTTCAGAGATTACATGTTAGTCTGGTCTGTAATCAGTGGTAATCATGGTAATTGAAAAAACAGGATTAATTAATACTCATTTATTAACATATACTTGTTCTAATATGGTTGTAGTATCTTTGTTTTGAATTTGGTAAAAACATAAAATTCTGTCGACAGTCAGGTTATATAACTCATTATTCTACAAGTCACTTTGTAGAACACTCATGTAGCAAAGAATTATTAAATATTCATTACAACTTGGTTGATATTGTGTTTATCACCAGCATTGATTTTTAACAGCTGAATGATTTTGTGATGTGTTTGGGAGAAAACAAACTGAAGTAAGAGGTGTAATGCATATGTCGTTCAGAGGTAAACAGGGTAAATATTCAACATCCACCCCCGAGAAAAGTCAGCCTGGATCACTGATACCATTGGGCATAAAAGACAAAATCAGTAATGACACCAGGTGTTCACAAGAAGATGGCCCGCCCTGCAGGCAGCACCTGCCATTCACACAATTTGCTAAAAAAAGGAAGTTTTTGTTTGTTGCCTGCGGGGTGGTCGGGTAGCCTAGTGATTAAAGCGTTCGCTCATCACGCCGAAGACCTGGGTTCGATTCCCGACATGGGTACAATGTGTGAAGCCCATTTCTGGTGTCCCCCGCCGTGATATTGCTGGAATATTGCTAAAA